TATATATTTTTAGATATATACTGCGTGCATCAACACACAGACGAAAAGAAGCTAATCACACAAAAAATGACACGTTTTTACGGCTGTCGAATAAATACGCAAAAATTAATCGCATCTATAGTCATTGTTCTCAAACAGATGAACCGTTTGTTAACAAATAAAATGGATAATGCGACTTGGAAAAAAAAAAAAAAAAAGTTATTGCGTATTTACAAGATTGCGATGGGCCTACATGCGAAAACACAAAAAGTATAAACATGTTATGTATATATTTATATATATATTGTATACCAAGAGAGATCGATAAATCTTTTTTTACAAATAATTTTATTTTTGAATGAAACATAAAAATAAATTTTACTATATTACACGTAAGAACTTGTCTCGTCATTGACCAAAAAAAACTACCCTTCACAAAATCATCGGAAAACAATCCATGCTGTTTTCTTATTTACATTGGGAAAAAAAAAAAAAAAAACTACCCCATACGAGTAAAACCAAGCAATAAAATAACTACCCCTTCATACGCAAACCGTCGAGAAAAACAGCAGCAGAGAGAAAGAAAGTCTTTCACAGGAAATTTCATGAAACCAAGTGCCTTCTAATTGGAGAAATTGGCTAAATGGAGAGAAAGGCTCCCACAGATATCCACCGCTCCCTTATATATTGCGGCGCGTTTGTCTTCTTATTTTTTGTATTTTTCAACTCTCGGGGGTAACCGATCTTTCGCGTGGGCACGCTTTATTTCTGGAGAAGAGTACACAGCTGGCGGTGCGCTATTTTTAGCCTCCTCAATTGGCACAATTCGACGACGTTTGCTCTCGACTGCAGTTGTAACGACCACTTGGGAGGGAAGTTTTTGGAAAAAGGCAGCAGGTGGTAAAAATATCTCTGTTGACAGAGGGCGAACGATGTCCCAAGAGGCCAATGCCCAGCGGACCGGAAACTCGTGCAAAAAGCCTTACGCGACAAAGGGGGGGAAAAAAAATCTGCCGTAAAGTTGTATTGCTCGTTGGAAATGACGATAATCCGCTCGTGACTTGCACGTGTATACATATCTAGGTATAACGGTAAAGTCGGGTTTCTTCCGAGACGCACGTATACATTTTACAGCACCGTAAACACGTGCGCACCAAGTAATGAATCGAGTTGGGCTCGCCAAAAAAACAAAAAAAAAACACGTTTGGTCGAGTCGATTAGTCCAACGAAAATTCCAGTCTTCAAAGTCCAAGGCAGTGCTCGGATGAAAAATTTTCCTAATGTATCCTTTACCATCAGTCCCATCATTCGCACATTACATTGTGATTGTACCCTGCACGTATCGATTCACACAGCAACTGCGTACACGCGCTTGGGGCGTAAATGCAAAAGATACGACAACACGGTGTATTTATATAAATATCGGCTATCTGTTTTTTTTTTTTTTTTTTTTTTTCAAACTTGTGGGAGGGGCTCCGTTATCGCGATAGCGTTTTATCGCAAGTCCGAGGTCTTTTGCTGTACCGCATCGCAAGCAAACTTATTCGCGAATACAGAAAACGAGTTGGGCATTCTGTACTTTTTTGGAACAAAAATTTGTGGTCGGTGGTCGCTGGTACGTGGTTAATTTGGCAGATTTTTATAGGTCAATTCTATTATTAGAAACTAATGCAAATAAAACAAGTTTACAATGAGAAAACTATCTAAAGTTATCATTTGTCTCTTGAAAAAAAAAAAAAAAAAAAAAAACTGGTAAAAAGCTGTTTTCGATTAAAATAATTCATGTAAAAAAAAAAACGACACTCAAAGTGTACTTTTAGCTTCAAAACATTACTTTCGTCACATAAACAATTTTTTTAAATATTACTGGTTCGTTCATTCACATTGTGGTGTAAAAATAAAAAAGTTGTCAAATATTGCAAACATTTTACTCATTTCCAAAGGTTAAACGAGCGAAAAATAAGCAAAATTATGTTATCGCTTTAGATAGTGTGCAAATTGAATGACGAAACATGGTCACAATTTATCATAAGATGAGGCGAGACCCCTCCAATAGTTACTATCGATGGGTCGCTCGATACGTTTGGATGATCGGTCAATGGAAGTGGTGTTCTTGATCAACATAAAACCAATTAAAAAACACTTCAAGGTCCCTCAAACACCTATACATCGCATTCTCCCCTGTACAGAAAAGGGCCCAGAGTTCACACGTGTACAATGTACGGGGTGGGGCAACTCGTCGAAGTGCGGCGTAATAATAGCCTCCCAAGCAGCATCTCAGCACGTAATATATACATACAAACGAGCGCCACATCCTCGGACGGATCGTAAAACGTTCGCTATCACGCCCGAGACGCTCTAAATTCCAGGCCAATCTCGGGCTTCTCCATGTGGCTCTCGGTTACGGAAAGCACTTGTGAGTATTAAGTGTATACGTAATATATACCCGCGAGTTATCGTCCCGACACGCGTGCAATCCGGAAACGCTGATGGCGCGCGCCGAAGAAACGTGTTGGTAACATGTGTACACGGTCGCGGGTAGTCGGCTTCGGTTGCGAGGAGGTGTGGTTTTTTTTCGTGGTTGTACGTACGGGGGTTGCAAATACTTTTTTCATTATGGTCGAATAAGTAGGAGAGACAAGTGTGCAGGGGTGGCATCCCTAAGGGTAAATCATTCCTTCGAGGTAGGATTATATATTTTTTTCTCGCTTCAAGCAAATATTTATTTCAAATAAGAAAATATTATCTAATGCGAGAAAAATTATTTTCTCGCGTCAAGAGAGAATATTTACTTGTTAACATTGTAGTAAACACTGGCTTGGTTCTGAGACATTTTTTTTTCTCTAAGCGCGGGTTTTCCCTCGCTTTGCAATTATTGATGCCGCGGGTACAATTAATTACTGGGCACGAATAAGTGAACAGAAAACGAGAAGCAACAAAGAAAAAAATATTAAAAAGCAATAAACAATCGGTTGTGTGTTGAAGATAAGAGAAAAATATATAAGAAGGCAATTATGATATCGTAAATGACAAGACAAAGGGAATAGAATTTTGGTGATAAGGCGAGTGGCTGAATCTATAAAAGAGTATAGGCTCCCACGACCAATGCACGACTGATGCTTTGATCCACAGAGGAAAAATGGTACAACGTTCTCAATGTTCTATATTCGAAATATGTGTTTTGTTAAAATTTACCATAGTTCGATGTACTCTGTTTGGAGACACAAAATAGAACAGTCAGATGGTGCATAGGTACAGAAATTTTTATTACTTGACATTTCGTGTCAATAACTTTCGTAGGTGAAATAATTGATGTTTGAGTGTAGATTTATCATTCCAAAAACAATCAATCCCATTTTTACCATTTGCACTACTTGTACAGAACATTCGACTAACAAGAATAATTTGTACAGCACAATCATACTCGTTTGAGAAAAAAATTTTAAAACCGATCAAACGCTCGTATACATGTTCACAAAATGTAGTTAAGGTTAATGAAAAAAAAAAAAAAAAAATTGGTTGCACACAATGCACAGTGAGATGTCAGAAGCTGTCATGCTGGTAAGCAAAAGAAAAAGTTCCATCCTTTCAGTCACTCGCACGTATCTACCCCCATGGACATAAGTATATGTTGCCGTAAGAGCACGTGTCTCCAAATAAAAAATTAAAAATTCGAAAGTTCCACGGCAAAGGCAATACACCGGCTGTGTACGCGAGTATAAGGCAGTGAATTTTCGATAATCAAACACATTAACCGAATTCCACAGTCTGATAACGAAATTCCGCGCATACAATTTATACACGAACGATAAGCGCAAATCAGAGGGGAGGGAAAAACCCACAATGATTCTTATTTTCCACAAAAACCAAATTCCTCCGCATCGTTATCTTGTGATTTGTACAGCTGTAGAAAAAAAAAAAAAAAAAAAAAAAAAAAAAACTATACAATCATACACACTTTGACGACGTTTTCACGACATTGCGTCATTAATCAATACACTTCGTTTGCCGTGAAATGAATTGCCGTGTACATCCGAATGGAAACAAGATGACTCAGCGCACTCGAGTTTCGTAAAAACACGTAATAATGAATGGACTCGGCGAATCACTGAGTCCGGGACGAAATTTTCATTCATCCGAGCGAAACGGAGCCGCGAAAATCCAACCAATCGTGTATCGGCGAATCCACGATGGGACCAATATTGATGTCCCCTGTACACCCGGACCATATACTTTTGCAAACCAGTTTTCCCTTGGATTTTTTTCCATCTCCGCCCTTAAAAAAAGGGAGGAAGAGGAAAAATTGCTTGTCGAGAACAAGCTGGAAAGGGACGTTTCCAGCCTTGGGTGGCCATTTACGACTTTCGGGACGATTTTAGCCAGCCGTCGAGTGCAGCCCAAACCGCATCATTGGAGGAATCCATCATCGCCATTAGACCGTCGGTGGCCGTGATCGGGGAAATGGCTCTTGTTCGGGGGCATGTACTTTATTTGACTCGCGTGAGAAGGGGTCGTTTGCTTCACTGGATGGCAGTTGGGTCGAATGCGGTGGGTGGACACGCGAGCGCGAGTTCAGCCGTGTCTTAATTATCATCGGAGCTGCGACTGGTGGTTTTTAACACGAGGAAATTGGGTTGGCTGGATACCGTAATTAGTTGCAGAGTTGATTCGATGAAAATTGCCGTCTCTTGTATAGTCATACCATAGTTACCAACTCAATTTTTTTTTTTAATACATTTTTAGTGAGCACTTGCACTCATATAAAATATATTACATCAAAAAAAAATTTCCGAGTTATTTTATCGTTAGTCGTGATAATCAAGCACAGTAATGAATCTTTTACCATAGGTCGTACCTGCGACTACGCAATAAATATTGTTTCGATGAAAATGGCGCTTTCACAA